TGGTTTTGCTTGCCCCAGCTTCCTCTTGGGTGACTTTCAGGCTCCAGACATGGGGCTTTCTGAAGCTTGTGCCTCTGCTGTGCTTTTGGTGCTGTTTGCTCTGGAGGCCTATGCCCTGGACAGCTATGTCGCAGCTGTCTACGAGCACAACGTGGTCTTGTCAGAGGACACCGAAGTGCCGGTTTCTCCTGAGGAGGCCTTGATGCTGATGGACAAAAATATGGCAATTTTGGAAGCGGCCATCAAAGAAGCAGCCAGACAGGTATTGTGACAGAGTTAGAGGCATTCATTTTGGCAAATGCTGACCATTTATTCATTTTCTTAATGGTGTTTTTTGGTTTTGTATGTTGGTACCAGGGTGCCCATATCATTGTGACTCCGGAGGATGGCATTTACGGCTGGGTCTTCACAAGGGAAACAATATACCCTTATCTTGAGGATATCCCAGACCCACAGGTGGACTGGATTCCATGTGCAGATCCTGGAAGGTATTATCCCTGCTGTGCACAGGGGAATGGTCCGATGGGAAAGACAGCTACCTTTAGGAGTGGTTGTTGGTAGTTCTGAATGTCTTGGAACAACTGCTGTGACATGAAGGCAGGTTAGCCCGTAAATAGGTTCAGGTAACTTCCTTCATCACATTTCTCTGTCATTTTTCCTCACTGTAGTTATTTTGATTTTAGTTAGTTATGGTTGATATTTATTTAAAAGAAAAACACAAACTTACAGAATCTATATTTCAGCAGTGTATTCAGCATGTTGTAGAAAATGTTTAAGATACAGGAATATTTGTGAAAAAAATCACAGCTACTACTGAAAGGGTATACTGCAAAATTTCAAATTTATTTTTTTGAATCATGACATGGTATCCTTTTTATTCTTTTCGTTAATAAATTGCACCATTTTTTGTGGCTGCAATATTTGGTGAAAGATAACAAAATGCACCATAGAAGAAACAAATTCTAAACTACTTCAGCACAGCAGCTGAATGAAGATGTGAGGCAGAAAGCTGAGATTAGCCTATGTGTTGATGTAACATTGATGCTGTGCCACACCAGCAGCAGAAAGGAGACCTGAAGATGCAAAGATTTGCTTTCACTGCAAGGAAATCCTTGTGTTTCTCACTTATCTAATGATGTGAGGTGAAGCCAGAGTTTCAGCATGCTAAGCTTTGAAGCACAAAACTGCTGCCTTCTATTGAGTAACAGAAAATGTCTGTCTCATGTTAGAAATTGCTAACTTAAACCTATCATTCGTGTGAGCTATAGTCTTGATGTTGGCATTTTCATGGATTGACTGGTTTTGATATTTTATTTCCTTTCTTCCTTCCCTGCCATTTAGGTTTGCTCCCTCACCAGTGTTGGAAAGACTGAGCTGTCTGGCGAGGAATAACTCCATCTATGTGGTTGCAAATATGGGAGACAAGAAGCCATGTAATTCCAGTGATCCAAGGTGCCCAAGCGATGGTCGCTATCAGTACAACACCAACGTTGTCTTTGATTCAGAGGGGAAACTGGTGGCTCGTTATCACAAGGTAAAAGGGTTTTACAAAGTTCAGGAAGTGCATGATCCTTGGGTGATTAAAGACGTGGAACAGAAACTGCTTCCCAGGCTTCAAGGTATTTGTACGTAGAGTCATTATATAGCAGGTGCCAGAGGGCAGGTGAAAGCCACTGCCTTAACATG